GTAGAAACATTTGCAGTAAGATGCTTCTGAAACCACTACTCGCAGAACTGCTTAACATCATCTTGGCAGAATTCCTTGTGTGGGGCACAGGCTCACTGCTTTCCTTTCTGCTTTCAGATGGTTGGAAAAGCCTCATGCCATGCTCCCCCAGGGCCGATTCACGAGAAACAAACTGCTTCTATTGCATGTAACCCCTCCTGTTGTCTAGCCCAGATTCTGTTTCTAGACTGTAAGATTCTACTGTTACCTAAGACTCAATTTGAATGTTGTCCAAAGCAACTTCTGGTCCTTAATCAATTGCCACAAATTAGTATTAGATGAAGTACCTAATAACATGTAATCATGTTTTAGATTGTGCCAAAATCTCACTGAAAATATGCCCTCTTCTAGAACAAGCTTCTAGAAGAAATTAACAGAGAGAGTCACTTTTCTTCACTATGAGGCTCATATATTTCATAAAAAGTGTAGCAATTCAGTTTACTCTGCTTCCAAAGCAAGTTGTCAACTGTAAGTTACTGCACTGACATTCTGGACTGAGCAGACACTGACTTTTCTCTACCCGATATCATTTGATAAATCCCACTGCCCTCTTCTGCCTCACTTTACCTAAATCCAGTATTACAGCTAAGTACCTACTCAGATATAAAATCTTCCACTTGCGTTAGGAAAGAGGACCTATACTTATCTTAGAATTCTCAGCTAACGGGCAATTTCAGCAATACTTAGATGGCATTCAGGGGGAAGAGGGCATTTCCTATGATTGTTAGGTGCCCACCCTTCCTAAGAAAGGTCTTTGATGAAGCAAAAAGTCCATGGCTGTAATTGGTAGGTAAAGATTGAACAGTAAAATCTGCATTGTTTTTTAAATGCAGCAGTATTTACTCACTGTGGAACAGGATTGTGCCAGGAATGGCCACTTAAGAGACAATTAAGACACAGTTCCTGTTTCTGAGGAGTTCACTGTCTAACAGGACACATGGGTGTATGTGAAGAATGGATGGTATATATAAAATGACAATACAGTGACAAATGCTACAGCAGAACTAAGTTTAAAATGAAATGGTAACACTAAGAATGGTGTGACTAATTGTCAGGAATGCTCAGGGAAGGCATTAAGGGATTATTTTTGCAGAGCCTGGAACAATAAAAAGGAGTTTTCCAAGAGGACAGGGGCTAGGGAGGGGCGATGAAAGAGTATTCAAGGCAGGGAAAATCATCTGTGCGAGGACAAAGCGAAGCCCAAGGAGAGCAGCCAGGGCCCAAGTGGGGATCGGCATGCAGAGATGAACAGGCTGGCTATGCCAGGTTGGGGCCTGATGCCAACTAAGGAGTTAAGATTCTGTAAGGTAGATCATGGTAGGTAACAGGATTAGATCTGCCTAGGAGGGAGGAGGGCTTTGGGGCAGTCAAGTGGTGGTAGATGACACTAGAAGTGGAGCCTATTGTGAGGATGAGGCTGCCCCAGAGGCTGACTGGAACAGCCCACCAGCCCAGAGATAAGCAGGTGCTGCTGGTGCCAGGCCCCACAGCCTCCTGGAGATAATACCACAGCAGTGGCCGGGGGCCCAGGTAAGCCCTTGGCCTTTGGAACCCCTCTCTGGACTATTTATGTTCAGAAGTTAACACCTGGGGCACCAGCAGGCAGCGTGGGGTTTCCGTTGGAGGTTCTGACCCCCGGCTCTGTGATCACTAACCTACCTGGCAGGATTGGTGTGAGGACGAAGAGTTAATCCACGGAAGGGCTCAGAGTGGTGCGGGACGCGACCTACCACAGACCGCGTAAATGTGAGCTCCGGGAAGAGTGAGCCCTTTGGTCAGCTGTACCTCCTGACATCAAAGCTGTTCTGGGGGTGGGGGGCGGGCGGGGGGGGCAGTCCATGCTCCTTTTGCCTGCCCATTCCTTGGAGTAGGCCTTGATGAAACTTTCTACCAGTCTGAAAAATCACTGGACTCCCCATTCCTGAGTTTAATTTCTATATGTATTTCCTGAACTTAAGGAGTTCAAGTAGGGTCGGCTGCTGAGTCCAGGCCTGGAACAGTATCTGGATGGAACAGTATTTCTCTAGAAAGACCAAAGTGCAACAACCTGAAGGCTGCTGGGGAGTCACGCATCACCTAATGGCACCAGAAGGCACGCAGGCCCGTGCTCCCAGCACCTGAAGTCATGCTCAGGGCCTCACAGGTGCAGAGGGATAACTGTAAATGTCACCCTCAGACACAGATATCCCTGCTGGCCCCAGCAAAAGGGCGGAGAGAGGGGTTTCCCCGAGGCAGAAAACCCCCCAGCAAAACCACATCTCCCCAACAGAACAGGAAGCTGTCATCCTTTCCTGCGTTGTGAGGTGGCCTGGAATAAACGTCTCCCTTATGGAAATGTTACAAGGAATAAATGAGTTACTGTAAGTTAAGAACTTAGCACATATTAAACATGCAACAAAACCTTCCTTTACACCTCTTATTTTCAGACCATAACCCCAATTCTTCTCACACCTATCAAAGTGGGTATGATGTTCAATGGGTTGAATGGGTGTTCAGAGCCCAATAAGTATGTAGAACTGCAGGGGGCGGGGGGAAGCTCCAAGAAAAACTCTCTGTATCTTCATATTGTGAGCAGACAAAAGGTATTTCATACTATATAAATGTGGTAAAAATCAACACATTCTAGTCTGGTTCAAGGTCACCTAAAATCCTACAATTTCTGCTAAGGCAGATCCTGCAGGAGCCTCAGCAGCGTTTACTGACTTGGCACCCATCCACCGCGAGGGCACTGCCATGCAGCTGAGAATCTTTTCAGCAAACCCTAAAAGTGAGATTTTTATCCCAGCATCGCTGACTCCAAAGCAACAAGACAGGGGCTAGTTAGAGAAGCAGCCTTTAGTTTCCATTAATAAAGGTTAGCTGTTACATTAGGCAGACCAGTATACTCTGGGGACTAACTAGTATCTTATTAAGTTATAAATACATTTAATGGCTTTAGTACTTGTTACTTATTTTGGAATGTGAAGAAGGAAAAAATCAGAACTCATAATCATGAGAGTCTAAAAAAGCCAGTTTACAATACATATATTTACCTGTAATGTTGCATATAAATTACTCGGGTTTTATAGAGCCCACATACGCCCTCAAAGGACAGCTGTGATTTTCCTGTAATTGCTTCAAACTACTTGTAGTGGTACAAGAAAGTGGTGGAAGATTATAAAATCAAATTGTTTGGTTTTGATTCAAACTAGTCAAACCAGTTCAGAAAAAGACCATGAGATTTCTCCCCCCATTCTCACTCCCCTTCCGGGTCCTCATTGAGGGACAGAAGTGCCCCCCCCCCCCCCCCCGCCCAGCCCATCATCACTGACTGAAGTCTAAACCCGGAATGCTGTCCCAGTTTCCTTAAAAAGGGTGCAGCAGAGAGTTGAAAGGGCACAGAGTTCTCACCTTCTGCTTATTGCACTGAGAGGGGACATACTTAAAATCATTTACCAAATAATGAATGACTGTTACATCAAGTTCAAGCTTACCTCATGTCCTGCTGCTGACCTGCTAACTGATCCATTGACTGTGGGTAGATTCTAGCGCTGAGCACCCTCCGTGATGCCCGGACTCACGGAACTGACTGCCACCGCGGCGTGGTGGGGAGCCGGCCCCGAGTTGACTGAGGAAAGCGAAATAAACTGCACAGGTGTTACATGCTTCATCTGGGTAACGCCCCCTCGCCTCCCACCCCACTTCTGTTCCCAAACACAAACGAGCCACCTCATCTTTTCCCTTCTCCTGACGAGGAGCACAGTGCTTCTCCTCTTCACCCCAGAGGTCCCGTGCCTGCAGGAGCCATGTGAACAAAACCTGCTTCCCAGACAGGCTGATCTGCCGGCAAACAGGGGCGTCAGCAGGGTCCCCAGGAGGGGTGAACGTAGGGGTCACAGGCCACAGGAACTTTTTGCCCTTGCTCAGGATGGACAGGCCCCATCTCAAAAAAAAAAAAAAAAAAAAAAAAAAAGGAAAAAAAATTGGGGGGGGGGTGCTAGAAATGGTTCTGGACTTCTTTACATACACAGAACAGCTAAGCTAGTGGAGGCAATCTGTAGCCGGCTTCAAAATCAGCAGCAGGGAGGGGGACCCTCACAACAAACAGTGGGAACAGAAGGTTTGTGTGGGAAGATGGTTAAGTTTGGTCTAAAACAAGCAGTGTCTCTGGTAATGAGCTGTTGTTAGGAAATATGTGGGGCCCTCAGTGCCTGTAGCACTTTTAAAGGGCGCTGCTGCTGTTTCTTAAGGGTTTTCTTTGCAGGGGGTGGGAGTGATGGGAAGGTCAGGGCGAGGTGAGGCAGGGACCCACCTAAAGAGCATGGAGGGTTACAGAGCCGTAGAAAAGGCCACCGCCATGGGGTGCGGCCACAAAGCCCTGCATTCGGGTCCCACTCCCCTCCGGGCCGCCTCTGGGGGCGTGCCTGCCTTCCCTGAACCACAGCCGGTTCAGAGTGAAATGAGCGCACCTGGGGCATCGGCCAGCGTCCTGGCAGGAAGCAAATGGCTTCCTCGGCTGTGGTGGCGGAGGAGAGCTTCATAAAGGGACTGCTGACAAAGGGTGTGGGCAGGGTTAATGACCCCGGGAGGACACTGAGGCCTGGCAAAACAGGGAGTCAACCCTCAGCTCGAAAGGACAAGGGGAGGGAGTGGTTACCAAACCCTGCAGTTGCCTGACAGGAGCTGTCGCCCTAGGCAGAGGAGCCCAGCCACGTCAACTCACACCTGGCACAGGAAGAAGCCAGGGGAGTGATTTCCCAGCTTCTCTCCTCTCCAAGCTCCCCCCAGTGCGTCTGGTAGATCCTGACCAGACGCCAGAGCAAAGCAGCACAGGGAGGACCAGGGCCTAAAGGAGCAAACAGGGACTTTCCCCGCACAAGGAAATGCATGAGGGGGCTGGTGGCAATTTTAAATGAGATGACCCTCATAAGTGCCTGGCACGGCAAATGGGTGCTCACTACTTGTTTGATCCGACTGTCTATTTGGTATTTACTGTCAAAAGGCCGCAATATAATTTTTATTCGCAGGTGGCAAAAGCCAGAATGAAAACAAAGACATGTTTCATTTACCCAGAGTGAAAAAACTTTTACAAAGTTGACAGATAACATTTATTAAAACATGTCATACAAAAGGGCATGGTCTCTTCTATAAGAAGAAAATATTAAACAGTAACATTCAATTAAGTAAAACCATGCTGTACACTGAAGACAGCAATATATAAAGACAAAACTATTCAACTTTTGCAACACAGGCATAACATTTCACAAAATATCAATAAGATATGCACCTAGTGATAATCTGTTTATCATCAAATGGTTTTGTGATCTAAGAGTCACCTGACTTGCATAAATAAAGTAATTTTTCTGGAAGAAACATTGGGAACCTCATAAAAGGAAAGAAGGCAGCAGCAACTGACATTGTGACACAGGCTTCAAGCAAAACTAAAAAAAAAAAAAAAAAAAAAGTCACATTTGCAAAATGTGTTCCAGCATCTTCCCATAGAATACTATCAGTAGAGATCTAAAATAAGAAACATGTACCTTTAAATATATAAGTAGCAAAGAAAAAACTTGAACAAACAAACCCTGGTTTCACTGAACAAAATTAGTCACCCATGAAAGCAACCTAATTCACAAAATTAAGTGTGGCACAGACACGGGTTGAGGGACGAGGGTGGCGGGGAGGGTAACATGTTGCTTGGTTCCCAGCATTCCCAAATTGTCAGAGACCTTTTAAAAGTAACACCTGGATTTGGTGTGATGGCGTCCTCTCCAGCCTCGGCAACCAGGGAACTGTAGCCAATCCCCTGCCTCTGGGAAAGCACAGCTCTGCTGCTTCTGCTCTGCCTCGGCCCCACTGCCGTGGCAGCTTGGGGAGGTGCGAGCCTGCACACAAAGGGGCCGCTCAGGCGGCGGCCTTCCCAAACAGTTACAAGTCTGCTTAGGGTCAGCCTAGTTCAGCCAAAGCCCCCCAGAATGGAGGAGACCCTTCTGGGCAGACTCTTTGAAAGTTGTGGCCAGAAGAAGAGACGGGAAGAAGGTGAGGTCTAGAACTCAGAATCAACAGGCCGGGGCCCAGGAGCACCTCAGGGTGCCCTCAACACTTGAGGAAAGGCTGTTGCGGTCCTTCCTCAGACAGTGATGCCTACTTTACCAAGTGGATTATGTAATGTCTGTATCTAAAATTAAAGGCATTGTATAAGTTCTAATATTAAATAACATTGGTGGTGCCGTGAAGCCCTTTCCCACTGGAATTAGAGAAAAACCACAGTTAAGACTCAGAGTGGAGGACAAATTCCTTGGTGGTAGGCCACTGCCAGGATCCCTGAAAGACCATTTGAAAATGTCACCCACAACCATCCAAACTTTGGAAGGATAAAGATTTCCTAAAGCTGTATTGAGGCTAAGGAGACAGACTATCCACCCCAGGGTAGGTAGGAAAAAAAGGTAGTAATACAGTATGATCTCCTACTCTTAAAAAGCAGAGTTTATAAAAATTCACTTTTAACAATCCAAACTAAGGCAATCCCTTTCCCCCACGTCTCTGACCATGGCCAGCATTTCAGATGCCAACCATCTCACAAGGTCTGGCGGACCCAATTAGCACCCCTAATTTCTATGGAAACCCCAATTATCATAAAAACTTAAAACAGCACATGTGAAGAACTTAGACTTTAAACTCTACATTTAGTAGCTAATGTGCATATGAGGATTTCCACAAAAGGTACATCTGTCTTCACAGCTCATGAAGTAAGTTCCAGCACAACTGACTGCTTCCAAAACCACCGCCCAAGGGCTGCCGGCCACTCGGGGCTGAACAAGCGCTTCATCACCACTCGCCACAGGGGCGCTGGCTGGTATCAGCGTAGCTGAGGGACCACAGCTTTTCCAGAATGTTTTAATTTTACCTCTAGGACCCTTCTCAAATGTCCCAATGCTCATCTGAATATAATTTTTAATGGGAAACAGGATGTCACACCTAAACAGGCAGAAAATGGTTTGCTAATACCATGGAAGAGGGTAATCAGTTTTTGGCAGAACAAAATGGCTTCACTGCCTTAGTACTGAAATTAGGAGTAATAAAAAAATTTCTCCTCACACATAATGGCTAGGATCATATCTAAAACCCACTGGCTTCTATTATGAGAAAAAGAAAAGGAGCCATTGAGCTTGATTGTACAGTCACTCTGTCCGGTACACAGAGAAAGGACTGTTAATGGATAAAGTTTCAACACTAAGAGAAGAGGATATTAATGTGGCAAACAACCAAGAGGTAATATCTAGTTTCTAAGTTAAAAAGTCAATATATATATATTTATAATAAAGTTTTAAATACAAAGTGCTTTTTATATATCGAGAATGATACAGTGTTAGTGAATAAGATCCCTGTTTTATAATCTTGAGTACAAGAATTATCTGGTAAATAAGTACTTTCCCCTTTCCAGACAACATTCAACAAGTAAACACCCGGTGGTAGGAGCTTAAGGATCAGAGGCCATGGCCAGCAATGACTATCACATTAGAGCAAAAGCAAACTTTTGAAACAAAATTTCATCCCAAATCCAAGAAAAGTTATTTTTATTTTCAGGGGGAAAACGTTTCCACTCGGAAGTAATAGACCAACAGGTTTATGGAAAGGACCACACAGAGTAGCACCCTGTCCTACCCGGGTGAGAGCTGCAGGTGTATCATACAGCTTGGACGCATCCCGAACACGTGCTTGCTATGTGCCCTGAAACGTCTGACCAGTTGGCAGAAGAGGTCTCAGAATAGCTGCTTATCTTGTTGTTGTTGGTAGGTAGAGCTATGCGGACTTGTAAATTTATGCAGCTTTATCTATAATTTGGGAGCATGAATCTGTAGACTACTTTCTAAAATTAGGACTCCTCCTTTCCCTTTTAAAACACATTCCAGAGCTCCTGAAAGAACTGGCAGTATTAGCTCAGTGTGCCCCTCTAAGAGAATAAGTATCTCCCCTACCAATGTATTTCCAAGACTCCTCTTTTCTCGTCCTCCCCCCTCCATTGCAGCCTGCCACACAAAATTCCGCTATGCGGCAGCTCTCGCTCTGACCGTTGGAGTGTCACTGTAGCACTCTATTAACTCCTGAAGTTCACAGGGAATTCCTGGCCTGACTCTTGGCTCCTTCCCACTAACTGTGGTCACGGACTGACCTCTTTGGGAAGCACCATAATCTAAGATAGAGCAAAATGGCTACAGCAGCCGATGGTACCGTGGTCAGTCACAGCAGGCTAGACGTCTACTAGCCATAGAGCAGATCCCACTGTGTGGATGCTACAAATAAACAAAAAGGATTTGGGACAGCAAACCAATTAGAAATACCCGTCTTGAGCACCCTAGAGAATTATAATTAGATATAGTTGTTCAAACTAAATGTTAGTACTAAAATACAAAACTTTTGCCTTATCAAGAGTCTGAAACACATTGTGACAGTGGCATCTTACAGAAATTGAAGCTTGTACCATAAGTTGTTTCATACTTAGCCTGTCACCCTCTTAATATCTCCATAGTTTTAGTTAAAATACCCTTTTAGAAAGAATAAAACCAGACGGGAGCTCTGTTAATCAATTTTGCATCCTAGGAATCACATTATTTGTAGCTTTTACATAAGTAGCATTTCATTCAGTAAAGCAGCTACCAAAACAAATCCACATTACCTAAGTATCTATAGTAAGAGAAAAATAAAATTCCAACATGACCTTGTAATAATGAGTGATCAAAAACTGCTACCACCTGAAGTGGAACTGGTGGGCGGGCTAGATTCCAGTTCCAAGCGCAGGTATCTCTATCACCAAGTCCACCCACCTCCATAACGGGCCTGAAGGTGTACCTGGCCAGCTGGGAGGTGGGTTAACTTCCCCCGTTACCTACTCCAGGCCTGGACTGGAGCATACAAATTTGAGGAATTAGATTTTTTAATTGGCCTACTTAGAACTGGTCTTTCAGAAATATCTCCCATTTTTTTAAGCTTCGCTCATAATAGCAAGTAGCACACATCATCTGTGCCCAGATTTGCATAATTACCATCGTTTATTTTTGTGCCTGCCACTCAAGGGCCGGTTACTATTTTTAGTTAGCCTCAGTCGTATTCTGCTCAGCCTTTGCAGCTTCATAAGACTTGGTGCAAGAAGTCACATGCCTGTGGAAACTGTCCCTCCACATAAATCTCTTTGCACAGATATTACACTCATATGGCTTGATGCCTGTGTGAATTTTCATGTGGCCCACAAGATGATGCTTCATTTTGAATTTCTTACCACAGACACCACAGCCATAAGGCCGCAGACCGAGGTGCATGCTCATGTGTCGATCTCTCTGACTCTTGTGAGTGAAACTTTTCCCACACTGACAAGGATACAGCTTGTCAGTGGCTGAGAATCCTAAGTGGGAAGCTTCTTCTTTAATCCCTGTTACCATTTCAATGTTCTCACTGTAGCCTGCTGCTAGGGCAGCCTCCTGTCTGTGCCCAATTAGGTTTCCCTCCGACCTCTCTCCAGAAAACTCTTCCATGGAAGAGCCATAGAAATCCACCTGCTCATCATAATTGCTTTCATCAGCCTGTTCATCAAACTCTGCTTCCACTTTCTTTTCCACGATGTGGAAGTCTTCCTCCACCCCTGAAGGCTGGACCGAGTGCTCTGTCTGCATGGTGTTGATGGACTCGGTGACCTGGTGCTCGTCATAGGGTGCGTGCACATCCATGCCCTCACACGCCTGCTCGAAGCGCTCGGGCTTCACATGGATCCAGCGCTTGTGCGCCATTATGCTGGGCTTGCTGTACAGAGGCCGGGTGTAGTGGAACTCGGCACTGTCGCTGGCCCCCTCCTCCCCGTCCTGGCTTGCCATTTCAGTGCTCAGCCGGTCATGCTCTGTGGATGAGTTGCTGGGAAGGTATTCATGCTCAGTGAGCTGAGATGACAGCTCGTCTTTGGTGCTCTCCTCTTCATTCTCTCCATCCCTCAGTTCTTGGGATTTGGGGAAATCGGCATGGCTCCCAGAGCCCAACTCAAAGCTCTCTACCAGGCCATTATAACTGCTGCTGCTTGGAGACTGGTGGTCACTGCTATGGTTTAGCTTTTGACAAAGGACTGTAGGGTTTCCCTCTAAAACCTCAGTGCATTTGTCTACCACATGCCACATCTGGAGGAAGCTCGCTGCTGTTAAGTAACTGACAATTTCTGCAGCGGGCATTACGAGACGTCCCGTATAACTAGACAGGAGAATGTTCTCAAAAACTCTTGGGTTCATCACATCAGGCAAAACAATCCTCCTGCTGTTTTTCAGGAGCACCTGATCACAAAAGTAGGGCGAACTGGCAGCAAGGACAGCTTTGTGTGCCCGGAAAATGTGGCCTTGCACAACAATGGAGACATCACATAATTGTCCTTGCTGGCGCTGCTGGTTCAGTTTCTGCAGAATGGTGCTGGAAAAATCAGGAAATTCTACTCGAAAAGAGTTTGTTCCAGGCTCCATTTCATCACAAATCTTGTTCAGTGCTACAAAAGAAAGAAAAGTTAGTACCGATGCTAGCCCAAAGAGCAACTTACTGATTACTAAGATAACTAGAGCAGGTTCCACAGTTCCATGTCCCCTCGCCTGTGGATACTGGTGGGTGGAGCCTTCATTCCCCAGAGCAAGGCTTGCAGGCATGAGTGGGTGCCACCAGCAGGAACCACATGCCACTCTTCATGGTATTAACTCTTGATTTGTGAGAGAATACAATCCACAGACATTAGATTTGCAACCTATACAAATCCCATAAATAAAATAAACTGTTTTTAGCCAAAACAAGCATGGTACGCATCAAAATGATAGAATTTTTAAGAAGCTTCAGATTCAACCCACATTTCCGAGCAGGAGTGAGGATGGAATCGGTGCGGAAGGAAGAGCGTGTGCAAAGGCTCGGCGGGAATGAGCTCCGCCTCGGCAGGCTCCCAGAGGAGCCCCTGGGCTGGGGTCGGCTGAGGGACGACGGGCAGGGGCTGCAGCGGCCAGGCTGGGAAAACAGCGCCTGCGCTCCCTCAGCGCCCGGGTGCGCAGGCTAAGGCCCCACGCTGTGAATTTCTGTAGCTCCTTTCAGAATTTCAGCCCTTCAGGAGCTTCCTGATCCTGTGAAATAAATGAAATGGCAAGGCAAGGTATTCCCTTTACCTGCTGGTCTTCAAATTGTTAAAAAAGTTACAGACCAAAGATGACATTACAGCAAAGGATAAGGGATTACCTGTGTTGTTATGTAAATATATTTTGCTGGGTAAGTCAAGCATTAGAGTTGATTTCTAATAGCAATGAAGATGAACTTCGATGGAGATCCTGAGCATGGCCCATAATTCCACAGTAAATTAAAACAAACCAGAAAACCCAGCAGATTTAGCAGTGCTGTTTGTCATCTAGTGCTTATCTCTATCTAAATATTGCTAAATACCAGGTATGAGATAAAAGCATAAGATAAAAGAACCAGACAACCCAAACAAAGATTACAAGTCCTCTTTGAGAGACAGGGAGAGATGCCAAGAGAAGATACGAATGTTCCTGGAGGAATTACTATATACCAGAGACTGTACACCTTTTTTCACTTAATCTTTACAATGACTCGGCAAATACAGGTATAGATATTCTTAAGTTCAGTTAACTTCAAGCAACTTTGCCAAAGTTAAAATAATAGCTATTATTTTTTATTAAGATGGGGCTTGAATCTAGGTTTCTATGACTCCAAAGCCTATGTCGTTTTTCCTGTTTCATCATTCTGCCTCCTCTAAGAAGGTGTCAAAAGACCAAATTAGTCATTAATAGTTTTAAGAGGTGAGACAGTGTTTTTAGAATGAAGTATTAGTTTATGGTTTCTCTGCTAATACTTCATCATAATTTAAAACAAAAATAGACCAGGAAACAAACTATTTAGATATCTGTATTTTCAAAAAGGAATGACAACTATATAAACATATAGACTAGAGGTATGTAAATTTTAAGAACTACATCTGGATAAACAGACTCCCTGCTAGATCTCAGCACTACAGGATTTTGTTTTTAGCTATCTGAAAAAAAGGAGAGGGACTAATACACACATGTAAAAAAACTTACAGAAAGCTGTAAAAAAAAAAAAATCCACTATTTAGTCCTAGTCACCCCCATCCATCTCTGTGCATGTATCACGTACGTCCTTTAAAAAACCCTACCCAAATGGGTTCATTAACTACATTTTATTCTTTACTTAGCTTTTGTCACTTAATTTATCTTCTGGCAGATCTTCTGTCACGCTACAGACTGAATGTTTCTCACAAAATTCATGCTGAAACCTATTCTCCCAATGTGATGGTATTTGGAGATGGAGCCTGTGAGAGGTTTTGAGGTCATGAGGGCAGGGTTCTCATGAATGGGATTAGTGCCCTAATAAAAGAGACACCACAGAATTCCTTGTGAGGACAGGGAATTCTATATATGAACCAGGAAGTGGCGCCCTCACCAGACAATCTTCTGGCCCCCCAACCTTGGACTTCCAGCCTCCAGAACTCTGAGGAATAAAATTTCTGTTTATAAGCCACCCAGTCCGTGATATTTTGTTACAGTATCCCAAATGGACTAACACACCAAATTAGCACAAAAAGAGCTAACTCATTCTGTCCAAATGACTATATTAGTTTCCTGCTATATGGATGTATCATAGTTTAAGCAGTCCTCTTCTTACAGAATTTTAATTGTCCAGGTTTTTGAAATCATGAGCAATGCTAGAAGGGACGTCTGTGCATCACCATTTTGGAACTATCTATAGATTAATCTCTACCAGTGGAATTGTGTCAAAGGGCTGTGCATTTGACATTCTGATATATATTACCAAAGTACTTTCCAGAAAGGCTGCAGTGAGTCCCACTCCTGCCAACAGTAATGACAGTGTCTACTCCTGCACAGTCTTACCAACATTAGGATGTTATCAAATAAGAAACACCACAAAAGTAAATAATCCATGATTCACTGTTGTTTTGACCAATATTTCTTTCTTTTTTCTTAAATTCTCACCTGAAGACATTTTTTCATTGCTCTTAGATAGCGAGGAAGGGAGAAACATCAATGCAAGACAGAAGCATCCACTGGCTGCCCCCAGTACTCGGCCAGACTAGGAATTGAACGTGCCCAGACCGGGAATCGAACCTTGCGGCAACGGGATGACACTCCAACCCAACTGAGCCACACGGGCCAGGGCTGACCACCATTTCTTTAATTATGAATAAGATACTCTTTACTCATGTTTATGGGGCATTTGCTTTTCCTACAAATTATCAGTCATATCCTTTGCTCAAATAAATTGGGCAATTCATCTTATTGATTTGTAGTTTTTTGGTAATTTGGGAAATTAACTTGGAAATTTATGTAACCTAGCCGGTGTTTTATGGCTCCAGAGCTCTGTGTTAGATATAAAAAGGCATTCCCGACTCCAAGGTTGATTTTTAACAAGTAAAAAGAATCATTTAGGTTTTTTTCTGGCACTTTTTTTTAAAGCACCTAAACCTTTAATACACAAAAAGTTTACTTTGGCATAAAGAGTAAGACTGAGATCCAGCCCTTCCCCCACCGAAATGGCTAGCCTGCTTTTCCAAAGCCATTACTGAATATCCATCTTTTCTTCAAGATTTCAAGTATGTGCTGTAGAATTTTAAATGGCCGAGAATAGACTTTTAAAAACAGTTCTACAAAAATAAACGCCGTAAGTAATGCTACAGAAAATAGTGGAGCAGGAAGCTCTAGAGGTCAGTCCCTCCACAAAAAGGAATAAGCTGTTAAAATGATCAGCATCAACTATTTCGGAACTCTGAAATCTGATCAGACACTTACTGCACCGAGGCAATGCCTCATGAAGGGAGAGGCTGCTGAAACTTGCTAAGGAAGCAGTGTACCCAAACCAGCTACCATCCCCATTCCTCAGCCCTGCCACAGCCTGGGGGACGTTGGCCCACATTCCTACAGCGGCTGGTTGATGCCAGGGTGAACAATAACGACCATGTCCTCTAAAAATCAGGGGGGTTTTGCATCTTAGCCAGTTGGGCAGACTCACATAGCTTTGTTTCTCCCCTTACATTGCAGTGGCTTCCCCAGAAGCATTTATCATAACATTTAAAAAAAACAAACATACGTTCCCCCCTTTTTTCCTGGGTCGAAGCATTCAGGGAAATCTCTGTCAAGTCACAGGCTGATCACATACATAAAGCAACAGAAACTTCAGTGACTACGTGCAACAAGAAATACTAGATGCTGAAAAATAGTTTGGAAAATCAACATACAAACAGGCAACTGCAGCCCTCAACAAGGAAAAGAGGAAATCTCCTAGGAGGGGAAAAGTCTTATTTCAAGAGTTACCACATTAGAATATTCAAAATGTCCAGTTCTCAACCAAAATGAGGAAGTATACAAAGAAAAAGGAAAATAACAGTGCATTCACAGGAAAAAAATAATTAGAAACTATCCCTGAGGAATTCCAGACATTGGAATCACCAAAGATGTTAAATGTACTGTCTTGTATACATTCAAATGACTAAAAACAAAACAAAAACCAAAAAGCAAAACAAAACAAAACCCCATGTGACAAAGAACTAAAGGAAAGCAGGAGCACAATGTCAATGAAGAGTTAGAAATTATAAAAAGGAACCGAATACACATTCTGGAGCTAAAAAGTGTAATAGATGTGTTTTAGGCTGAATTGGATTCCCTACCCCCTCATTCACACGTTGAAGCCTTATAACTCCCAGTACCCCAGAATGTGACTGTATCAGGATGTAAGGACTTTAAAAAGGTAATTAAGTTAAAACAGGGCCATTACGGTGGACCCTCATCCAATCTGACTGGCTTTTTTGTAAGAAATGAAATTTGGACATACAGAGAGACCTCAGGGGTGTGCACAAAGTGAAAACAGTGAAAAAGTGGCCATCTGCAAGCTAAGAAGTGCTCAGGAGAAACCAAATCTTCCAACACCACCATCTCAGATTCTTAGCCTCTAGAATTGTGAAAATAAAAATTCTGTTATTTAAGTCACCTAGTCTGTGATGTTTTGTTACAGTAGACCTAGGAAACAAATATAACTTGAAATTAAAAATTCACAAAAGGAGTTCAATGGCAGATATAAGCAGGCAGAAGTAAAAAAAATCAGAAAATTCAAAAGTAAAGCAAGTAACCTTATCTAGCCTGAAGAGTAGAAAGAAGAATGAAGAAAAATGAACACAGTCTGTGATACCTGTGGGACACCATCAAATGTACCAATACCAACATACACACCATGGGAGTCTCAGAAGAAAAAAGGGTAGAAAAGGTATTAAAAGAAACAATGATCGAAAACTCCCCAAATTTAAGAGACACATCTACACATCTGAGAAGCTCAACAAACTCCAAGCAGGATAAAGTTAAAGAGATCCACATGAGACATATTGTAAGTCAAATAGTAGAAAGCCAAAGATAAGAGATAATCTTGAAAGCACAAGAAACGACTCACTGCATAAAAGGGCTTCTCTATAGG